ATTGGCTTTTTTAGTCTTTCTATTGTGCCCTAATGATAAATTTATCTTTTAATTACAAGGTGACCCTTTTGAATTATTCGGGTAGTGATAATTAATCTCTCGCCTTAGCAGGGTGTTTGGTTGGGAGGAAAAAATTAAGGAGAAAATAAATTGTAATTTGGTGAACTAAAAAATAAAGTTAGAATAAAATAAGAATTCAAATTACATTGTTTGACGGAAGAATATAATTATTAGAAATGAGAAGGAAAGAAGTAATATAAATACTAAAATGCTGTTGTGTAGTAATAATAGTAGTAATAATCACCAAGTGGCTTGTGGTCCACTGGTATCCGGTTTGCTCACAAATATTATTTTTTTCCTTTCCAAACTACCACTGAATTGTAATTCCCTCGGGGACAATGAATTTCAATTTTTCAAATTCTTCCGACCGGCCAATGTAATTTAAGATGCCATGAATTATGTTGTAATTGAATTACAAATATCTATTAAAATTTAACATTGATGTATGAGAAAATCTCAAAAATTCATTTACATGAAATTATAAAGAAGGCAAAGAAGAAAAATAATACATAATATATATTACATTTATATGCAAAAAAATGGTTACAACATAATATATATTACATTTATATGCAAAAAATGTTACAACTTTAACTATATCAAATGATATTCAAATTGGTGCGATTGAGAAGTCGGATGTTGTGAAGAAAATGAGTCAACTTCAATCATTTTTACATCTTGTCGAAGACTATCTTGGTTTCATATGTTCATAAGCTCATCGTTGTCTACCACGATCTCAATAACTGATCTTTTATCTACTTCAATATTTTTTACTATTCTCTAATGATTTACGTCATGATTTCATGACTTATGATTATGATCCTGCCATAAAAAAAAATTAAAATATTCTAACTCAACACTCTAGAGAGCCAATACGTATCCAACTCAAGAATTTAAACACGTAAATTCATATACGAACAAAATGCGCAATATTTAATAGTAGATGATCAGTTTCCATGTGTAGTATAGACATTCTTAACGTATTCTATGCAAGAGGTCCATAACATTTCTCCATTGTTGTTCTGTATAATAAAAAGAGGAGAATGAAAGAATGGATTTTTTGAATTATCATATTCAGTTTAGAAGTTGTCAGATTAACTATGATTGGACTGTTTGAAAAATTATCGGTTAAAATTCTTAAAGGTAAGAGAATCAATGAAATGGAGAAGGAAGTAGAGGAAGGTGAATCCATGGATACCATTTGGGTTGATCAGAGTAGAATGATTATTGCAATTACTATTAACATTTTTCCAGTATTGAATAATCTAACTTTATGGTACTATAATATTTTTTTCGACATTTTTTAGTAGTGCATATACTTACAACATATTTCATATTTAATTATATACTTGTCCGAATTGTGATTTTGGGAGAAGCAAATGAATTTTTATATTTGTCCTTACATCAGCATTAGATTTTAACAAATACTTGATTTAGGGGACTAAAAAGACCACTACGCGAACAATTCAAAGACTAAATAAGGCCATCCTTATAATCAAAGGACTAAGTTTACCATTATTTATATGTTCACATTTGATTATTGACCTAAAGGACTTATATGCTTTTATGTTGATAATAATATGTAAATGGTAATTATATCATTATCTTATGTATCTACATTTAAAACTCATTATTACAAATGCTAATGTAGGGCAATAGAATATCGTCACACACTTGACACATCGAAATGATGTCAAGACTACAACAATGTTGCAATCAATCATGCAAATCCAGAAAATGAAGAAATTTTAAAAAATAGTCACCGTTGCAACATTCATTGATCTTTTATGTAAAATACGTATTGTGCACCCTTTAAATATATTAGAATTAATATAAATTTACCATTCATTTCATTTTCTAGACTCAACCTATTTGGATTAAAGGTAAAATCAACATCAACCTTGACAACAAAAATAATTAAGTATTTGAACTACCTGCAGAGTCATTGTTGTTACTTATGAACTTTCTACAAATATAATAAATATTAATATTTTGTTCAATACTTTCACATGAGAATCTACGACACACATCTCACAACACATGAAACATGAAAAAAATACCACTACCAAATATCAACAAGTACTTGCAAGATAAAGGGTTCATAGTACAACTAAGATTTCAATCATATACACAACGAGGCAAATCTAAAACTTCCCACACCATAATCTCATTGAATGACATTACCCTCTATGCTTCCACCAGCAATCCAATTGCACATGACACACCACAAATTAAAAAGAAGATTACAAATATTGAACATGAAAACAATGACAATGTTACTCAAAAGAGAATTACGAAGACTTAGATAAATTGAAATCAAAAGTAGTATTTAATTATTTAGACTATCATTTTTAGAATAAGTATTTAGACTATCGTTATTACAAAGTTGCAACCATTTATTTTAGTGATAAATATAATCAATATCTCATATATTATCTTACATTTTCATGTACTTTGAATTACTGATTTAAATAAACAAATTCAACATTAAATTACCTATGCATGAACATATCATATATAATCTTGCATTGATATACTTTGAAGTACTTATTTAAAAATAATCGTTGGACATTATCTCATTCACGCAATGTGCGTGAAAAATTAGTAATAATAATAATGAGCATTTTTATATTAGTATTATAACAATTAAATTAGTGTACGCAAAAGGAATTCATAACAATTTTTGTATTATATTTATTTTTCTATTTTTTGTAACTCTTTTCTCCTTTGGAGTAAGAATTAAAATATAAAAAATATTTACTTAATTTGATTTGTTTGTTTAATTGTCAAAAATGTGAAACATATTATTTTTTTTGAATGATTGCTTTAAAAGAATATGAATATCATGTAATTATTCCAAAAAATAAATGAGTTAATTATATTTTTAGTCATAGATTTATAGGTGATAATTTACTTTTATTTTTTTTAGAACATCTATTTTTGGTCCTAGAATAATTGTGGTATGATCATTTTTGGTCCTCAATCAACAAAACCAGCAATTATACTCTGGACCGCGGTCCAAAAAGGCATCGTTTCTTTAAGTAAAAGAAACGGTGCGCCATTACAGTTAACGGAACACGCATGTTTGGTGTATTAATTACCAACTGAAACTACAGTGTATCTAAACTGACACTACAGTATATGACACCGCCTCACGTATTATTTTTATATTATCAAATGAAATTGCAATTGAATTGAGATGAAACTGTAGTTGTGTTGAAATGAAACTGCAGTGTATATAAAATGAAACTGAATAACATTTCAAATATTTGAGTGTATATTGTGCAATGAAACTGTAGTTATATCGAAATGATAATGTAGTTGTGTTTTAATGAAACTATAGTGTATATAAAATAAAATTAAATAACATTTCACATATTTGAGTGTATAAATATCGAATGAAACTGTAGTTATATCGAAATGAAACTATAGTTGTGTTGAAATGAAACTGCAGTGTATACAAAATGAAACTGAATAAAAGAGTTACTTTTTGCGGAATGGTGCGGAACGACGCAAAACAGGTGCCGTTTCTTTTCATTAAACAAACGACGTCGTTTAGAAGCTCGATGCATAATCCATTATACACCGCAGTGCACGATATGATTTGCCTAACAAAACTGTTTAAATGACGTTAAGTATAAATGCATTTCAGTATTCAATTAGGAATTTTAAAATCAATAGCAATATTTAAATTTAGGGGGGAAAATGCATTTTTCGCTCCAAAAGTATAAGTTAATTGTAGGATTGGTTACTACTTGTTGATCATGCTCACTTTTCGTCCATGTTACAAATTCCATCCTTTTTATAATAAAATATTAGAGACAAAATTTGCAACGTCAATTATAGTTTAGGGACAATGTGATCACGGCCTGTTAAAAATAGATGAAATTTGTAACTTTGTTATAGTTTAAGGACGAGAAGTGAGCATGACCAACAACTCAACAAGTAGGGATGGATCCTACTACAATTACCTTATAACTTTGAGATGAAAAGTATAATTTTCTCTTAAATTTAATTGATTGTGATACTAAGCTACTAAGTTAGGAGATATTTGAAGGGATGTAATCCTCTCTGTATTTTAATTGTTTTTTTTTTTATTTTAAATTTTAAACTTAGGTGATCCAATTTTGTTGGATTAATTCATAGGATCTTGTCCCTAGAGTTATTGGGGAGATAAATCACAAATCGCACAACTAACCCATAAGTCAGATATTAGTCTTCATATGTACACAAAGGGAATCCAATTCAGACGATAAATTACCTATGCTAGTTCTTGATAATCTTTTCCCAAGAGATGAATCTCCAACTCCAAGGGCATCCCACACGCCGGCCCGACAAAGTATTTTGGAAGATGTAAATTACGGTGACTCAATGACTCAGTAAACAAGTGAGCACAAGGGATCTGTCGCAAATTTTGCTGTGCAACCGTGTGCACCATGTATGGTGTACATGGTTGCAAAAACGACGTCGTTTTGACTAAAAACGCGCGTCCCACTTAAAAAAAAATTTCAGGTTCGATTTTCAGCAATATAATTTTTGTGTGCATAATTTGAATTTATATATCCACAATGAATGAACTAAATATCCACAGTGAATAAACTAAAGTGAATGGATAATTAAAAATCCAGAATGAATGAACTAAATATCCACAATGAATGAACTAAATATTCACAATGAATGAACTAAAAATCCAGAATAAATGAACAACATAATGCTGTTGAGCGGAATCGATTTTTTTTTTTTTAAATGGGACGCGCGTTTTTAGTCAAAACGACGTCATTTTGTAACCGTGTAACACATCATAACTATTGAAAATCTGTCTACATTGTGCATAATCCCAATATTGCCGTTGAAATTTGAACATTAATTTGTTCTCTACGGTCTATTGAACCATTAAGCTAAGCAAGGTCTTTGATTATTGGATGAGAAGAGTAGAGGAAGCACAGTAAATAGCGGTAGTGGCAGTAGAGTGAGGAGGCATGAGCTGTTGGTGTGTTCAGTATATGTACAAACTGGTCCCCACCACCCATGTGCCCTCCTCCTGTCTCCACCAGCTCCTGCCGCTCAATCATTAGAACCCTGTTTCCCTTCTTCTCTCTGGTTTTTTTTTTCCCTTCTTTTTTTCTCCTTTCATACCCTCCCTCCCTCATTATCCGCTTCTTTTCACCCGCCCAATGTCGACGTCGGTGGAGGCCAACGCCGGAGCTTTAATCGACCCGCAACAGCTCCCTTCCGCCGGGAATGGGTCTTTGGCAGTAGTAGTCAAGAAACCGCCCGCTAAGGACCGCCATAGCAAGGTCGACGGCCGGGGGAGGCGCATACGGATGCCCATCGTTTGCGCCGCTAGAGTTTTCCAGCTCACGCGGGAGCTCGGTCACAAGTCCGACGGCCAGACCATCGAGTGGCTTCTCCGCCAAGCTGAGCCTTCCATTATAGCCGCCACCGGCACCGGAACTATCCCGGCGAGTTTCTCCACTATTTCCGCCTCCCTCAGGACCTCCTCCTCCACCGCCCCTTCTCTATCGGCCTCGTTCGACCACAAGCCCATGGCTCCCGCGCCCTTCATTCTCGGGAAGCGGCTGCGGGCCGAGGAGGATGGTCTGGACGACGGCGGGAACAAGGAGGATGTCGCGGGCGCGGCCACGGTTGTGGGCTCGGCCGCAGCAGGGTTCTGGGCGCTTCCGGCTCGGCCGGACTTTGGACAGGTCTGGAGCTTCGCGGCGGCCGCTCCTCATGAGATGGCGGTGCCGACAACGGCGGCGGCTGCGTTGAATTCGCGGTTTTTCCAGCAGCAGATGGGCGAAGCCTCGGCAGCTAGGGTTGGGAATTACTTGCCCATGGCACAAGGGCACCTCAATTTGCTAGCTTCTCTTTCCGGTACTCCGCCCCCTTCTTCCGGGAGAAGAGACGACGATGACGCACGTTGAAGCAAATTCCGGCTGTTTGGTGTTAATATGACTATATATATTTGTGCCTTGTTGTTCTGTAGATGATGAGAGAACTGTTAATTTTAGATTTAGGGTTCTAGCGAGTGATTGATGATGATATGAAATTAGGGTTTGTGAATTCCATGAATTTACCATTAGAAACTTAGGGGGTTTGCTTCATTGCATTGCTTATCTGTCCATTTTTTTTTTTTTTCCAGTTTTGAGTGTTGTATTTGTTGGATGAAGAAGAGGAACTGAGGAAGAGACGAGAGATAATCCAGTCGGTCGGGGATGCATTTTGTGTTGGAATGGTGGCTGGGAAATTCTGCCTTTCCGGCACAATAGATCATAATAAATTGCTTGTTAGGTTCAGTCATTAGATATACTAGTTCTAATCATGCTGAACGAATGCCTTGTAATGAAACCGTGGAGGTTTCAAATCAATTGAATTCTGTAATTTGTTGAAGACTCTCTTTGCACGGTTACAGTATATATATATAGTGTGTGTGTGATTTTAGACTTCCATGTTATGCATATATGTGTTTCCTTGATAGGGCGTTTAATATATCTTTCGAAGTCTCTTGTTTTATGCTCTCTTTTGTTATGCATTGCTAATCAGGGTCCGAAATCTTTCTTCTGATAAAGACTCGTGGGGATTAGTTCATCTAACACGCCAAGCTGAATAGTAAGTCGGAGTTGAAATTTCTTGTGGATCTTGACTATTGATTGAACACATTTGATGTTTAGATGCTTGGGTAGAGTGGTGACTTGACGGTTTGAGAATTTATACCTCGAGGGCTCCTAAGAGACAGCAAATGGAACTTGGAATTCTTTACTCTAGCTTCTGAAGCCATATGGGCTGCTTTAATTAGACTTTTCAGCTGGCGAGTTATAAAGTTGCAATACTGCCAGGGGGTTGAAACCAAATTAGTTAATGTATTATGTCGTGTCTCTTGCTGTCAAGTATAAAGATATTTCTTGTTACAGATAGTACTAATAGAATCTCTCCATGTCATAATACTATTATTATTATTGTTGTTGTTGTTTTGTTTTGTTTTATTATTATTATTTCTCTGTTATTTTATAGGTAGAAGATTCTTCAGGCCATACTCTGGTAGCTGGGAAACATACTTCATTAATGGACTTTGCCATATGTGAAGTTTCTACCTCTGTAATATACAAAATTCTGCAGTTTTTGATATGCTGGAGGGTTGGGCGGAGGCTGATAAAGGGTCAAATCGCTACTCTGTCTCTCGAAAATATGATGGCGGTCTATAAGGAAATAAAGTTACGCCTTTTTACTGGCTATAGTTTTTGGCGTAATGCTAAGCAGATCCTAATAAGTGGTATCAGGGAGCTAGGCTATGGGTTCAAGTGTTGTTAAGACTGTCAGATGCTGGGAAGGGATACATATTAGTGGGAGAAACCGAAACCATTTATTGTTGTTTATTACATGTGTTTTTGGGTTACAGAAGATTTAGGTAACAAGGTGGTTCTTCAATGGTTATGGCAGGGGCAAGTGAAAACATCACAAGGGTTGCAGATGCAGCTATATGGAAGACATATCTGGCAAAAGCAGTTCTGCTGCAGTCTTCTTCCCAGCTTCATCTCACCGAGGAGGTGTCTAGGCGGGCTTGTTCCCCGGGAAGCTTCTGGCTTTATGTCGAGGGCAGCACTTCCAGCCACCACTGGAGAAGAAGCATCGGCCAAGAGGTCACCATTACCGAGAAGAAGTGCAGCCATATTGAGAACAGTTGCAACAACCAGTAGAGCTGCCACTCCGGTTTTCCTTGCCATGGTTGAGCTTTTGTTTTTGTAGCTAATTATACATTTATACACACAGCCTACCTTGAGAGTGAATATATAAAGCAAGCAGAACGGTAGAATATGCTGTTGATCAACAATGCTACAAGAGATCCTCTCCTCCATCTTTCCGAAACCTCCCTAGGAGTATTTTGTGTATGCATTTTGTTAATAGTGTTAGTGTTGTGGGGTTAGGATTTATGAATCTTGATTTGTTGGACAGCTCTAGTCAAAGTTACAAGTTCGACCCATAGTGAAAGCAACGTTCTTAGTCTGAGTTGGTTAGTTATAGACAACTTAAGTTGGTTTACTGGTCACAAGTTGGTGCAACTTTGTCTAGTCACTCAAAAATTTTCTCTCCAGAATTTTAAATAAAAATGTTATAAGAGATTATTTCTCTCAAAAGATTGAATCTCCAACCTCACCATACCTGTAAATTACAGTGACTCAATAATTCAGTAGACATGGTTAAATGTCGGTGTGCACACAAGATCTGTTCACTTTGAATATAATCCTTACACTATTGTCGCTGAAATTCGAATTCTGATATTTTTTCCCAAATATTGTCTACTGAATCATTGAACTAAATTTGTGTAGGCAAAGACGTAGGTTTTGTGCTGCCGATTGGAAGCTAGGAAATAGCTATGCATCTTTGTCAAGATTAATTCAGTGAGAATTTCCAGATCAGAGCATCTATTCTGCCGACACAATTTGAAGGGAATACCATTTTAGTATTTACAATCTAATTATTATAAACAAAATTTAAAAATTAAAGAAAAGAATAAATTAAATAGTGTTACATTTTCTTGGTGAGATTTTTGAAGTTTAATGGGAAAAAGACAACATTTTCAAAGTTATTTTTATAAAAGTTTCTTGACTATTGAATATCTTTCGTATTTAGTTTTCAATTTCAAAATTATTTATTTTTCTACATTGACAATTAAGAATTTGTTAAGTTTAGTCTTCCATTTTAAATTTATTAGTTGGCCTCTAAATTTGAGGGTGAAGTTATAATTTTTATATATTAACACCTTGAAGCATTCTTCAATTTGATCAAAAGCACCGACAATAGTGTGGAATCTAATTTTGACTTCAATGAAGACTTTTTTATACAAGTTCAAAGACTTTAAAAGTTCAAAAATATTTATTTCAAACAAAAGTATTTAAAAGTTAGATAGTATTTCCTCTCAAAAAAGTTGGATAGTATTTGATTCACATTTTCAAAAAGTTAATTTGTAAACGTTTTTCTTATAGTGTATAAATAATTAAATTCTATTAAAATATATCTTCAAACTTAGACTTCGTTCTAAATATTCGATCTTATTATTATTATTATTATTATTTTTCTATAAATAGACTCTAAAAAATAGTGGGCGATCTTATTATTATTATTATTATTTTTCTATAAATAGACTCTAAAAATAGTGGGGCGAGCCAAGGCCGGTTGTGTGTTGATCTGAAAAATTTTAAAAAATAATTTTTTATTTTTTTATAATTCTTATTTTTCTAATATAAAATTCTAAAGAATCTGAAGCCTAATCACCTGTACAACTTTATTTTTTAGGCTTACACAAGTTAAAGAGTGATGGGGAAATTTATAAGAAATAGACCACAATTTCAGCATTAAGGTATGATACAAGCATCTAGATTACAAAAATGCTGTCCCTCCAAACAAACAAACAAACAAACAAAGGTGTCTTACAAAAGTGTAATCCTTAATTACCTAAACAAAAAGGATCAAGAGAAAAGGCATCAATAAATATCACAGTTTCTTGAACACCCTCTCAGCAGCAGCTATCGTGTTTTGAATATCCTCGGGAGTATGCGCTAAGCCCGTGAATCCAGCTTCGAACTGGGAAGGCGCGAAATAGACGCCTTCCTCTAGCATTCCTCTAAAGAACCTCGCGAATTTGGCAGTGTCGCTCTTCTTTGCATCAGCAAAGTTGTAAACGGGGCCATCCATGAAGAAGAAACCGAACATGCCACTGATATACCCACCGGAAATTGCATGACCAGCCTTCTTTCCCGCACCCACAATGCCCTCGATTAGTTCACTCGTGACGTTTTTCAAGTACTCGTAGCTTCCCGGCTCCTTTAACCGCTTTAGCGTGTGGATTCCCGCTGTCATTGCTAGCGGGTTTCCACTCAACGTCCCGGCCTGATACATAGGTCCAGCAGGTGCTACCATCTCCATAATATCCCTCCTCCCGCCGTACGCCCCGACAGGCAGGCCGCCGCCAATGATCTTCCCGAGCGTCGTCAAATCGGGAGTTATGCCAAAATACTCCTGGGCCCCACCATACGAGAGGCGAAATCCAGTCATGACTTCGTCAAAGATGAGGAGAGTATCGTTCTCTTTGGTGATCTTGCGTAGCGCCTCGAGAAATTCAGGCTTCGGTGGAATAAAGCCAGCGTTTCCAACTACCGGCTCGAGAATAATGGCAGCAATTTCCCCTTTGTTGGCCTGAAAGAGGCTCTCTACAGCCGAAATATCGTTATAGGGGGCAGTAAGCGTTTCATACGTTGCTGCTTTGGGAACTCCAGGTGAGTCGGGAAGCCCTAAGGTGGCAACCCCGCTGCCCGCTTTAACAAGAAAAGGATCTGCATGCCCATGGTAGCAACCCTCGAATTTGATTAACTTTTCTCGTCCAGTGAAAGCTCGAGCCAATCGCAGTACACCCATGCAAGCCTCTGTGCCCGAGTTAACAAATCGAACCATTTCTATACATGGAACGGCTTCAATGACCAACTCGGCCAAGGTGTTTTCGAGGAGACAGGGAGCACCAAAGCTTGTTCCCTTCTTCATTGTTTCAGCCAATGCTGCCAACACCTAAAAAAGAATAATTAAAATATTATTAATATGGAGTATGCATTTTGTTTTGTTTTTTTTTTTTTTTTTTTTTTTTTTTTGTAAATTTATGCCTTTATGGAGTAAACTTAGTAGGCAATTAACAAACTTGGTTGGCGTGAGTGGCCGTGCACTCCCGTCCCTTAAAAGAGGTCAGGAGTTCGAACCCCCTCTCGTATGGAAAAACCAATCTGGCCAGCACTTTGCCCCTTAAGTGGGTCGGCCCGGTGTGAATGGGGATTAGTTTGAGTATGATACGGGCTTTAAGGTGCCTCCTACAGTTAGGGTTTGCTCAGGACATCTCATGGCCTGACCAAAAACAAATTTAGTAGGCAATTTTATTGCCCTTATCCGTCAGATGAACAAAATTTAACAAGTATTAGTTCCGGTTCTCTTAACCACGTTCCCCTTTTTCATTATTGGCTTAGCAAAATTACAACTAAAGATTTCGTGTTTGCATCCCCTTATCATTAACCTATCAAAAATATCATATAAAAAAGACACTAACTTTTTTGAACGCAATAAAAAGAAAATCAGCATTGATACTACGGAGCTGTAGTGATTCCATAACCAGTCAGAGCAAATCCTTTAAGCCTTAATGGCTATCAAGGTAAAAGTTAGTTAAATAGAACTGACCTCATCATCTGCATGGCCGATGATAGCTGGGCCCCAGGAACCAACGTAGTCAATGTACTTATTTCCATCTATATCCCACATATACGCGCCCTTCACAGAATCCATCACAATAGGCTGACCACCAACAGATTTGAAAGCACGTACAGGCGAATTCACACCTCCAGGCATCAGCTCCTGCCACAAGCAATATTGAAATGAAAACAAAAGATTTGGATCTTGATTTAGACTGTTGGCTCGC